ACCCTAAACCCTAAACACCCTAAGCTTCACCATCCTGGAGCTCAACCAAAACACCTGAACAGAAAGTTTGGAGCAGAATGTCCGGATGAAGGTTTGGGGTTTGGGGGTTTAGGGCATAAGGGTCTGGAGTGAGCGGTATAGGCTCGAATAGCGTATGCGTATCTGCATGCTTTCGATCTCTAGCCCCCCCCCCCCCCCCCNNCCGAAACCCTAAACCTTAAGCCTAAACCCCTAACCCCTAAACCCTAAACCCTAAACCCCGAAGCCGTCAACCCCCAAACCCTAAACGCTCTAGCCTTCATCCACGATGTAGGCATGGCCCTCGTGCATCTTGAGGCTTCTCAGCCAGCTGGAGTGTAACAGAAGAGCCTTGGGATGTAGGATCACCTTTAGGGTTTAGGGTTTAGGGTTTAGGTTTAGGGTTTAGGGTGCCTTGGGATCTGGGCTTTGAAGTAACCAGGGCGAAAAAAGTATGGACTATTATTCCATAATGGTTCCTTTAAGGAACCAGGTCCCCCAAAAAAGTATTAAAGTATGGTACTCCAAAGCCCAGGGATGTGGGATCACCGTCAGGGTTTAGGGCTTTTGGAGTTTGGGTTTAGGGCTTAGGGCTTAGGGTATACGGGCTTTAGGGTTTCGGTTCTAGGGTTCACATAGAGTTTAAGGATTTGTGGCTTTGGCCAAGTTTGCTGCTTAAGCATCTTTTTGTTAAGGCTTCTCTTCTCACTGCTGCTACGCGTGCGGCTTGCGGGGATTTTATTTTGGACACTACTTCAGCAAGGACTGCCCTAGATTTCGACAAACCGACGGTACATGATGCTTAATGTGAACTGCATGGGGGCCCTCACTGCTTTCTGGCGAAGATCGGTCTCTGCAACACACGATCCACCACCAGAGGTTTCCTGGCTTGAACCACCAAAACCTACGTTTTTTGTTTGTAAAGCCCCTCTAAATCACCAGCCAGAGTTTATTAAAAAAAGCCTACGCAAAAGTAGGTAATGGTAGTTTGAAGTATATCTAGTAGCTAAAGAAGAAAAACTCCTAACCCCGAACCCTAGACCTTCATCATGTCACGTAGAACTTCTTACTTGGATATGAGGAGTGCCTTAACAGACTTCTCACTCTGGTTTAAGGTTTTAGTATAAGCCTTCACTAACCCAAAGGGTCCTAGGTACTGTTATGCGGGATACTTTCGCAAATCATAATAACAATTCCTAGTATAGAAACCCTACATTCTGCTATATAAGTACTTTGGACCCTTTGGGTAAGACTTGCTTGAACTCTGCGAACTCCTAAAGACACCCTGAAGTCTGGCACACACGCGAGAACAAGGTGGGAATTCTGATCGATAACACCCCCTCCCGCTTCCTGAAGGAATGTTGTGGGGTTCTTGAGAGTCCTACAGGTTCTTGTAGGTTTTGGGGTTGAGGATTACAAAATCAATACACAACTCTACGGTTTAGGGTTTAGGGTTTAGGGTTTGCCTTAAGGAGAGGATCCTTCTCAGAATCCCAAGAACAGGACGGTGGGTGGGATCTTTCTCATCGGGGGTCTACATGAATTGATGCAGATCTTTCCAGCACCGCGCAATCCATAATCTACAATCTATAGACCCCTACAAGCCCATTGGTAGCCTGGGCTTTAAAGTAACCAGGGTTTCATAATGGTTCCTTGCCCAATACAATCCTATAAAGCTTTGCAGGATCCCGGCAGTCAATTACCCCAAACCCTACACCCTACAATTGTTCGATAATTACACTAGACCCTATAAGTATTGCATAATTACCCTAAACCCTATAGTTCTTCTATAATTACCGTAACCCCTGTAATTTCCGCTCTAGATTTTAAGCCCCCACGCCCCAGAGTCCCTATAAACCCGCAAAACCCTCCTGAAGCCTACACCCCCTAAACCCTAAACCCTAAACCCTAAATAAACCCTAAACCCTAAACCCTACACCTCGTCGCTTGAGCCTAGCTGCGCGATCTCCGAAGAAGATCTCCGTCCCCGTCGGATTAACTTTCAGGATGCGATTGCCCATTCCTGCACTCCCAGCGACTCCTAAACCCTAAACCCTAAACCCCTACATCCACGAATTCAGGACCCCTTACTCGTTCAGGATTCCTACTACGCTTTGAGGATTACCTATATCTACTCTTCTATGTAGTTCGTTTGTTCGGATAGTCACTGGTTCAGTATGGTTAGGACCCTACAGTCCAGAAGCAAAGTACCGAAGGAACGAACTAAACCCTAAACCCTAAACCCTAAACCCTAAACCCTAAACCGTACATACAAGGGGAATGTTTCAGTCTCTGCGTCGCTTCGTCTTGCACCTGTCACAGTCAAGGCATGGAGGTTAGAGTCTATAAAGGGGCTTATTTAGGGTTTGAGGTCTCAACATGCCAGCATAAACTCCGAAGCCCAGCATCTCGTAGGTTTGTGTTTGGGGAAGTACCTGATTTTTCGGGACGTACCTAGACCCCAAACCCTAAACCCTAAACCCTGCACCTTAAACCCTAAACCCTAAACCCTAAGGTCCATAGAAGCCCATCAAGAAAAAAGTCCCCCCTAAACCCTAAACCCTGAACCCGTTCAAAGGCTGCCTGCATTGGCAACGTAAGCCCCGCCGTCGAAGAATGTAACGTCGGACCTGGGCTTTAAGGTTTAGGGTTTAGGGTTTTGGGGTTTAGGGCTTAGGGTTCCCTCTGGGGTTTAGGGTTTAGGGTT